CAATATATTTGCAATGCGATATAACGAAGCTAATGTAAACACCTTGGATTTTTCTCCGTGTTTCTATGTCTTTTACTACATTGCCGCCCATAAGTATGCACATATCAACTCTTTTTTTAATCAAGAGCTACAATTTGTAAATGCAAAGCAAACGAGAGAAACGAACCAAATATATGGTATCGAATGATGACGAAATTTAAGCATATGATTTGCGTAATTAAACGAATAATACACGAAGAGACATTGCCTAAAAATATGTCATAAATTTATATGTATCTATTTACTTTGAACTTTTATTACAATATTATTTTCTAAATTTGTATTCAAATTGTTTGGTTTTTCATTGCGGTCTTCTATCGATTTGGCATTTTAAATACAGAGAATAAAGTGATTTTAAAAATACACATCAATCGTCTTTGTTTCACTTCGAATTTCGATTTTCTTTCTTTGAGGCACGAACAACACCAGCACAACACACATTCGTTTTGAATAGAACAAAGTAAATATATTCGCTTACACGTTAAGCTGCTATATCAACCTCTGTCGAACTTTAATAATAATTTTTTCCTATTATTATTGCGATACTGTAGCTAGAGTCTACAAAAATTTCCTGTAAGTTGGGTATAAATTCTTTGCTTTTTGTTGATTGCTTGAACTCGAATATGAACACAGAATATCAATAATGTATACACACAGTCACACAGTTAAAGTTTTGCAGCTGATTTCTTCAAGGTTCAATTTAAAACTAAAGTCGATTGTCAGTGTGAACAGAGTGTGACTAATGCCAATGTTTACCGCATGATGGAGCCGCCAATTCGAATAAAATAAACCGTTTCACATTCGGTACAAATATTATTCGGTAGATGTATTGCATAAGTAAATAAACAATTGTTACAGCAAATGATGAAATTATTTGTTGAACGAAAATGTTATCAGCGATAATGTACGTCATATTTATTTTTTTATTCTTGAAGAATGATTCAGAGCTAATGTATTAAAATATTACATTTTTTTCTTGTTTTTTTTTTTGTTTTACTGGAAAAACTCAACAACTAATAAATATTACGAATGTGGATATTGATGCCAGGTGTTTGTGGATTGGGGTTTTTCTATGTATAATTTTGCTTTGGTTAACGAAATTAAAAAAAATCTATTCTTCTGCATATACAGCGTCGACTCCACCGTTTTCATTTAATCGTTGCTCTTCATCTTCTTCGAATTCAACATCTTCGTCCGCCGTTGCTTCCTGAAAATTTACAATATTTTTGTAAATAAACACAATTAGTAATTATAAAACGAATTTACGTACTTGATACTGCTGATATTCCGATATCAGATCGTTCAAATTCGATTCGGCTTCGGTAAATTCCATTTCATCCATACCTTCGCCTGTGTACCTATTTATTGCAAGTACACAAATAGTACATACTAATAAAAATCGCATTTCGAGCCAAACAATGTTTTATCATAGCTATTTAGCTCACCAGTGTAAAAATGCTTTGCGTCTGAACATGACAGTAAACTGCTCGGAAATTCGTTTGAATATTTCTTGTATGGCTGTAGTGTTTCCAATGAAAGTCGATGACATTTTCAATCCACGTGGTGGAATATCGCAAACAGCCACTTTTACATTGTTTGGTATCCATTCAACGAAATAGCTGCTATTTTTATTTTGAACGGCAAGAATTTGCGTATCAACTTCTTTCATCGACATTTCACCTTTATTTTTGTTATGCATCGATACAAATGGAAAATGTTCAATATTATTTTAAACGAAGAAAATAAACCAGAACTAAAAAAAGACCATCTTCGAAAAAGGTGAAAAAGTTTCGGTTTTTTTCTTACCTCGGAATATGACGGCAACGGTTAAATATCGACCGTGTCTTGGATCGCATGCTGTCATCATATTCTTTGCATCGAACATTTGTTGTGTTAATTCGGGCACCGTCAAAGCTCGATACTGTTGAGATCCTTTGGCCGTGAGCGGCGCAAAACCTGGCATAAAGAAATGCAATCTTGGAAATGGCACCATATTTACAGCCAATTTACGTAAATCAGCATTTAATTGACCCGGAAAACGTAAGCATGTTGTGACACCGCTCATCGTTACCTATGTGACGCATATGTACGCCAAAGAAAAGCAATGAACGAACGAACGATATTAAGTGGCTGAAAGGTGAGTTTATCATATTTGTTAAATGAGTATAACAAACCGAAACAAGATGATTCAAGTCCCCATATGTTGGCGATGATAGTTTTAGCGTACGGAAACAAATATCGTAAAGTGCTTCATTATCAATGCAAAAAGTCTGATCGGTATTTTCGACAAGCTGATGAACTGATAAGGTTGCATTGTATGGTTCGACAACTGTATCAGACACCTATAAATAGTTTGATGCAAATAAATAATGATGAGTATCATCCGTTCAAATAGATCGTATTGCATTGAAATACCTTTGGTGATGGTACAACTGAAAATGATGACATGATACGATCCGGATATTCTTCGCGGATTTTCGAAATGAGCAATGTACCCATGCCAGAGCCGGTGCCTCCACCCAAACTGTGAGCCAATTGAAAACCTTGCAAGCAATCGCAACCTTCGGCTTCTTTACGCACGACATCCAAAACCGAATCAATCAATTCAGCGCCTTCGGTATAGTGACCTTTGGCCCAATTGTTACCTGCCATTTACAATAAAAAAAAATTTCAAATGGAAATGAACACATTAAAATGCATGAACTTTCAATGGAATGACATTAAAAAGTGAAAATAACATACCGGCGCCAGATTGACCGAAAATATAGTTATCTAAAAGAAATCGAAGAAAATGAAAACAACGATTTTTGTGTTGCACATCAAAAACTAAAATATTCCAAATGATTTGGCAAAAAAAAAACAAACCTGGACGAAACAGTTGACCGTATGGAGACATGCGTACCGAATCCATGGTTCCTGGCTCCAAATCAACTAGAATTGCACGAGGCACATATTTTCCACCATTTGCTTCGGTATAGTAAACATTGATGCGCTCGAGTTGTAAATCGTTATCGCCATGGTACATGCCGCGCGGATCGATTCCATGTTCGTCAGAGATAATTTCCCAAAACTGTAAATAACAAAAATAAATCAGAATGTGTTGTGTGCAACATTTCAAAATCCATTATGGCAACCGACAAATCAATGGATTTAACAATCACTCTGTGCACATGTATCACTCCCGGCTTTCATTCCCCTTTTTTTTTGTCATATACACATATACGCATCTCTCATTCGGCAATAACATTCAATCTATCTAACTAGCACATGAGCACACTTGTTCATCATGTAAAATGATAATGTCTTGTGAAAATACATTATTTAGTTATGCAACGAGCAATATTTAACACAATTCAACATTCATGAGAATTCATTCGAAAACAACACAAACGAATGTGTAATTTGATTTAATAGTCAGTGCAAATGCATCGCAATTGGGCTAGGTTAAGAATTCATGAACGAGAATGAAGTAAAACGAAGACAAAAATAAAAGGTAATCAGACTTTTTCGAAATTTTTTTTTTTTTTAAAAATGCAAAAATGTGGTTGATCATCGTGCCGAAAAAGGAAGTAAAAATGAAATGTGTAGCGTGTGTATGTAAATGTACATTTATTATAATTGTACGTACCTTGGAACCAATTTGATTTCCACATTGACCTATAGATGTAGAGAAGAGGAAGAGAGGGAGTAGTTTTTTGTCAAAATTCTCGTGGTAATATATGTATAAACTAACCGGCTTGTAAATGAATTATCTCTCGCATTGTTTATATCGTCGCGATTTAAAATGACACGTCAACTCTATATATCCAGTAAATCGGATTAAAAAAAATTGTTTCGTTTTTGTTGTTTTAAGAGTTTAATTTTCTGCGCTATCACTGAGTAAATTTTCACGATAAACGTCATACGTGAAGTGTGTGCGAGCACGAACAGAACAAAAAAAAAAACACACGGAAGAAAAATGTGCGATCACAATTTTACTTAACACTCATAAACGACCAAACGATATAATATACAAGACACACATTAAATATGCTCACGTAAAGTAGAATAGTCAAAAAAAAAAAAGCTAAAGGAAAAATATCAGCGTACACAATACGATGTGTAACACTTAAAAGTGGCGTAAAACTAACGAAACTAAATATAAATTTGCTGATAAAATCTACGTCGCACTACTGACCGTCGAATATTGTATATTTACAGTCACTTGTATTCGAATCGTTTTCAATTCTGTCATTTGGATTTTGTTTCTCTTTCATTCTCGTTCACTTGCTTCAATCTTACTTTGTACCTTGCTCCCTTCACATGTATAGAACTTCTATACATAGTGGCCACACACATATAACAATTAGTGTACGCGAATGCATACATAAGCTAGAAAAATAGTAGTAGATTCTCATCGGTAGGCTTTCGATTTCACATGCCGCTAATTGTTTTTGTTTTTTTTTTTCTGTTGTTTTATTTCGAGCCTTGTCTGTGGACGCGCTCGCGCGCTACAGATTCGCAAAAGCGTGAGAGTGAGGTTCGTAGCAACAGAACGATCTTCCTTTTCTACTTTAAAATAATAATCGACAAGTGCCTATTTTTACACATACGATACAGTGTGTGTCGTACACAAGTTCGTGCATTGTTTAACCGCTGTTCACGCAATATGGAGCATCATTTGTTCATATGGTTCTCATTCGTTGTTTTGTTTCGTCTCTTTTATTTTTTTTTTCACGCCAATTCAGTGCTTGCATTTTCTTTCCGAAATAGAATAACAACAACGACAACGACAAATTGTATGCAATGTGCAACAATCAGTCTATGTAACCCAATGAACTTTGTTTGTTAGTCGCATTCAATTGTGTGAACTTTTGAAGTCGAATGACATACACACACTAGAGCACGCA